AAACGGTAATCTGGCAACCACAGCTGCCATTTCTTTTTTTACTGTAAACTTCACAGATTGTATCATTGTAGGGCAATCACTGAGATTTCAAGCCCACTGAAATCAAAATTGTTTTTTGTCCATGTTAAGACCACCGAGGCTGCAGGGAACAAAAGTCTTCGCATTTTTGCTAGTTGTATAATCAAAAAAGTAAAACTTTCTCATCTAGCTTTCACAGCCTCACTTTAATTTGTGATAAGTTACATTTTGTCTTTGACGAAGGTCTACATACAAGAATACTAACAAAAGTGGATAAAATCAACTTTTAGAAAATATATGCATTTAAATAATGTACATATTTAGTCTTTCTTTTCCTGGAAAACAGACTAAAAATAATGATTACATATACTAATCATAATGACAACCAGGTGGTTATGTAATGTGACAGACCTATTTGTAAAAAGAAGCACTTGGAGAAGTAAACAGACAAATAGGCATGGACATATTCGCAGTCTTCTTTAAAGTGGAGGAGCTTGTGCAGGTTTTCACCAATCACAGAGCTATGACAAGGTTAAGAGATTACGGCACTTCACACACAAATCCAGCAGGCCAGTGCATGCAAAAGCCATTTCAGTAACAGCTTCACAAAATCCCTCCTCTAATGTGATCATTCCTTCTCCCTCGGCCACGGACACACACACACCACATTTAGTTTAAAATGCTCAGCACAGAACAGTAAGTCATAGATCAAATGTTGCTACCAAGCCCACCTTAAGTAAAACAAATACAGCAGCTTTGAGATCAAACCGTTTATAATAAAAATTCAGGCTCAATCTCTCAGTTACAGTCTTTAACAGTTGACGGGAAAAAGCCATTTAGCTGCACATAAGTTAAAAGTCCCTTTGGACGTGTTAACTCTACATTTTGAATCAGTGTTTGTAATTCATAGCTGGTGTACCTAAGTCTCCAAAGTGTGCTGCCTCCATGTGGCTAGGCTGTTTTTTGAGGATAGCAGTCCGGCCGTGGGCAAAGGAGTCCATGTTGGCTGAGATAGCATTGATGGCCACATGGCTGGGTCCCGCTGCCTCCAGGATAGCATGATGATTACGGCCGCTAAGAGAGGGGGAGTGGGGCAACACTTGGGCTGGAGAGGAGCACACAGAGCAGGAACATTAATACACAACTGAATTCTATATTTTCCTCCATTTCCAATCTACAAAACTGCTCTGCTAAGCTTAGTAAGAAATGCTTACCACACGCTAATAAACCTAAGCATGTCCTAACCTAGCCTAAGCCACAACTGGCTAGTTATTCATTTAAAGAGATCACTGAAAAATCTAAATTTTGTTATCGTCACATGTCGTTCCAAACCTATTAGACTTTGATTAATCTTCTAAACAAGATATTTTAAATGAAAACTGAGGTTTCTGTCCCTCTATTGGAAGACCAGGTAACCAAAACATTGTAGATCCAAAAGTGACATAAAGGCGTCATAAAAAGAATCCATGCGTTTAATCCGAGTCTTGGGAAGACATAGTGTCTCTTTAAAAACATATAATTCAGGCTTTTATTTACATATAAACACACATACATAAAGCACATCACGTATGGTCAACATGGAAACATGTTTGAACTTCTGCGTTTACCATATGTGATGTGCTCTATGTGTGTGTCTGTTCTTCATATGAAGCAATCATATCTATTCATAACATAATTCAATATCCTTACTTTGCAGAGATTTTCCATTATTTCAAATAAAAAAACAAAGGATAAAAACATGCTAGTCTTAATGGCCATTTAAACAAAAAAAAACACGCAAAATCTAGATACATTTTTAAAAGCTGAACTCATTTTCACTGTGTCATGTGTGAGATGCTGCAAAAGAGTGCAATGATCAAACATGAACGTCTAGCGCATGTTTACATAGAAAAATAATGTAAAAAGCAGCACAGCATAATTCAAAAAAACATTGTTTTTGAACGACCCATTATTCTCTCACCTATAGAGACACAACATTTCCACATGTAGGGTCACAAGGAACTAAAACTATAACCTGATACACATTAACCTGGTCTATTGTTCTACATTCCAGCATGTTCTATGACATCTCACTACAACGTTACAATTACAAATCTGACAAAAATTACTAAGATGAAAAACCAAAATGAAAAAGGACCAACATGAAACCAAGTGAGGCTGGAATGCAAAGCACAGTCTGATGAAAATATCCAGTATACAGTGTACATAATACAGTATATAAACAGCATAACATAAGCACAGTAAAGCAGCACAGGACTCTCACCTTTGCGGGCTTTGGCATCTGCTGGTCTCTCAGGTTCCTTTCCTTTAGCTATGAGATAAAGAACATAGGAAATTTTATTTATAATTTACAGCATCTCTTGTCCTAATGCACCTGATTATTCAGCACTTAAGAACAGTAGCCGTCTTTCTTTGACACCCAAAAATAAAACAAAACAGTATGGGTTAATCCAGTAAAGCCCACATTTTTGACTCTTTCCACTTTACGTTTTCTGCATTATTTGCATGGGGTGAGGCCTTGCGTGGAAAAAAAACACCTGTGGCAAACAGTCTTGCATCATGAAGCACAAAACGACAAGAATTTCCATCATCCCTATCATTATTGAGAGAAGTGCAAGCAAAAAGTGGGGATGATATTTGTCTATACAATGAGCAGCATGTATTACAGAATTTCAAACATTTCATAGTCCTCTGCTGTGCTAATAACATACATTAACCCACATACCTCTTATGGATGAAGAAAACATACACTATATTACAAAGACTACACAGACTAAGAACAAAGAGAGGTGATGTTCCTGTTTAATAGGACATGGGCTAAGAGTGCATCCTTCCTTCCCTTAGGGCAGCCACATTGATTAATGTACACTGACTGAAGTCACAGGGTACATGTATATGGTCTTTGTCATGTGGGCAGGGATTCTGGGAATTTTGGAATGATCGGTCACTCTATTCAGTAAAGATACAAAACTACAGATTAATTATTATGGTTTATGTATGTATGTATGAACATCTAAAGACAGCAGCGTTCCCACCCATTTTGACCAGTGAATTCTCACCAGATAAGGATTTTATAAAGAGTTTTATATTCACTCTTAACAAATTTCCACCACAAAGATTTTACATGCATGGAAATCACAATTTAAACTTCGCTGACATTTCCAGGTTTTCTATGACTATGGGAATCCTGTAGAATGTTCTCAAATTAGTGGTTCTCAACTTAGGAGCCTCAGCTAATTTCCAATGGCAACCCAATAAGTCTTAAAATTATGTAAATTCAATTATATTAACATAATATTAATTACAGAGGTACCAGAGGTACATAATCATATCAGCTTAAATAGGCCGGCCTTCGAATATTGTCTTGGACAAAGGGGCCCTTGGAGTCTATAAAGCTGAAAACCACTCATCTAAATCCAATTAAAAGGATACAGCATTTCCAAAAAAAATAGCTCGTTCAGATCAAAGATGTCAATGAAAGCCATCCTTGTCAAAAAATTCCAAACCAATTCCAATGTTATCAACTATAAGAATAAAACTTGAGTTAATTCAGTAGGATTCTATATTATTCTTAAAATCATTCGTTTCATTCCATATTATAAAATTCCAACATGAGTGTTTTCTGACATGGCTAGCCTAACTGTCAGACGACTGACACTACATCATGCGTGTTACTTCAACGTTTACGCCCAAGACACAACGGGACTTTTATTTTTTCAGTTAGCAGCATGAATTTTAACAATAGCATGTGTCTATAATTCACAAAAAAATCTCAAAGTTCTCATGTGGTAACCTAAAATAACAAAAATGTTCACTTGAAAGAGGAATACATCCCATCTCTCTGGAGTTAATGTAGACGGTGTGCAGACGACAGCGATGCATAAGAGGAATTTCATGGCCATAACAATAATAAAAGAGTTTTAATGTCACATTCATGTGGACATGAGCTCAGCATCAGTCCAGAAAAGCCCACTCTATCCGGCGACCATCCCATCATGATCGAGCGGAGCACTTCCTTACCTTTCCGCCTGAAGAACGACATGATGAATCTGACGCTGTGAAGGCTCGCTCAGCTCAGAGACAACATCCCGACAGCTCCCGAGTCCCTTCATTCATAACACTCTGTCGCGCACAGCTTTCGCTTTGATCATCCACATCTGCGGTCACTGGCAAAACCCAAAAACGTCCAGTCCCCTCTCAGCTGGCCCGGTCGCCATATTGTCAATAAACGCCTCACTTCCGGAGTGTCTGCGGCACAGCGCTGTTGCTGGAATTATGGGAAAAGGCCTGACAAATGAAAAGACTTTATTCCTGTACATACCACATAAGATTTCTCGTATGTAATATCTCTTGAAGAATATACTGTGTTATCAGATGACATGAGAGCTCAAGCAGTGGCAGCAGGGTCCTGCAGCTAGGTCACATTCTGACTGCTGTAAACAACATTTTACCTGCATCACTCCAGTCGTTGTAGGATGGACATTGCAAATATATCATTGTCAAATCAACTTAATAATTGCGTACTACTAACATACTCTAATTTATTATTTGGTATTATGTATATTTATGTGCCATATGTCTGCTTTGACAGATGAGTCTGGTTTGCCTCAGGGATTTTTTTTCTCCCTCTTCACATATTCATCTGATCCTTGCATCTGGTATCTTTGCTATAATCATCTTTTACTTGCTTTGAGTACAGTGATGGTATGTACTTTTACAAATGTCATCGAAGCTATATAATAGCAAACTACACAAAATCAAAACAAAAATGGAATTAAAATATCAAGATTGGTACACTTATCAAACATCTCTTAAAAACTTGTCAAATTTTCATGATATACCTATAGTCTGGGTCATTCAGATTATGCATTGCTATATAACACTTTGTGACAGTTTATTGCTATTTTATTTCTTAAATGTACAGGGACAAAGTCTGTGCTGCCACCTTTTAATTAGAGCACCAATGAATGAAAAACAAACACTTCACCATTAACATCTTTTATTGCATGAAAATCTTGAATAATGCCAAAATAGTTAGTAAACTTCTGTGCGTTGTAACAGAGGCAAACAGAGAGAAAAACAAAAAAACTATTCAAAAGTACTTCACCTTGACATGCTCTGTCCAAATTCTGTCTAATGTTATAATTTCCCTTTTAATTTTCCCTTATTATTTTCAACCGTTAAAGCGTCTATCTGAAGCAGTATTCATAGGGAGTTTCCTGCTCTGAGTGTCTTCTCCCAGGAAGAGCGAAGAGCATCAAGCAACGTCCGTGCTAAAAACACTTTGGACATCACCATCATTGTTGCACTGCCCAGGAGTCCAACAAACAGAGAAGAAAAACTGCTGAGAAAATACAAAACAAATTTGAATTAGAAGAAAGAGAGAAAGACAAGAAAAGGAGGTGTTGAAGGGATAGTCCACCCAAAATTAAAAATTCTGTCATCGTTTACGCACACTCATTTTAACTTAATTTCTCCTTTGGAACACAAAAGATGATATTTTGATCAATTTTGGTCACCAGACAGTTCCCACTGACTTCCACTGTATTTTTTGTCCATACATTGAAGTCAATGGTAACCAATACTATTTGTTTACCAATACATGACAGTAAGTAAATAATGGCAAACAATTTCATTTTTAGGTGAACTATCCCTTTAATGTGTGCATTTTGCCGATATTACAACAAAATGGCTCTATGTCAGATTATTCTCACCTCTATGATCAGTTCATGCTCATTTCCCCATGGCCTGCTCGATGGCAGTCACAACTGCTTTGAATTTTGAATCGGAGTCAACAAATCCATCTCCATTCTGTCAAAGAAAATATTGGCCAAATGTAAAATATTACAGATGTACTTTGCCATATTAGATTTTAGTAGCACACTGGTCAATCAAAAATACTGTTCTATGCAACAGTTAAGACATGTAACGAGAGTTACGAATGTAACTGCAGTTCTATGAGTTCTTTCTGACCGCCAGAGGCAGTGCTTCACACTGAATGTTATCTCATCGCAGATGCACAGGTCGAGTCTAATACGAACAAAGTCCCTCGTGACCAGGATGACTCGGGGTCCTCCCCTATTTAACCCCCGTGACTTCCTGCAGACTGTCCCTACGGAATCTTCTCGCCCTGACTCTGAGTGACAGAAAGCTCTGGCGTTCATCCAGAACTCATAGAACCGCAGTAACATTCGTAACTCTCGTTCTATTTCGTTCTTTCTGACCACCAGAGGCAGTGCTTCACACTGGATGACTTATAACCACAAGGTCACGAGGAAGCCCTGTTTACCTCTAAGAAGTTGAGGGTCCCAACAGGACAGCTGTTTCAAAAGTATCCGATGCAGCCACATTAATCCTGTAATATCGGGAAAATGTGTTCGTAGATGACCATGTCACTTAGGGGGACAACTTTTAGTGCCGCCCAAAACGTTGAAATGCTTCTCGTTGAATGACATCTCACTCCCGATGGCAATGGACAACCACTAGACTTGTAAGCATGGGTGATAATCTCCACTAACCAATGTGACAATCTCTGCTTTGAGAGTGGCTGAACTTTTCTCTGCCCCCCCCAAAGGAGAGAAAAAGCTGGTCTGATTGCCGAAAATCTTCTGTGGCCCTGAGGTAGCCACAGAGAGCCCTTACCGGGCACAAGAGTCTGCATCCACTTCTTTCTTGTGAATCCAACCTTGGAGGATTGAATACTGCCAGCTCAATAGCCTGATTTTTAAACAGGGCAGAGAACCTCTTGGGGAGAAATGCTGGGTTTGGCCACAACTTCACTACCGAACCATCTGCATTCCAGCACATGCAGGTTGTATTAACTGATAATGCGTGGAGCTCACTCACTCATTTAGCTGAAGTAATGGCCAAGAGAAAAGCTGTCTTCAATGAGAGCCACTTCAAGTCACTGTGCTCCAAAGGTTCGAATGGAGGTAATGTAATAGACTTCAAGACAAAACTCAGGTCCCATGAGGGTACCTGAATGATCTGAGGGGGGCGCAGTCGCTGTGCACCTCTAAGGAATTGAGTAACCAAGGCATGAGATCCCAATGGCTGCCCATCTATTCGTACATGATGTGCTGAAATTGCAGCCACATAAACTCTTAAGGTAGAAGCTGCCTGATTATCTTTCAGCAGAGATTGCAAAAAACGTAACACCAAAGGGACAGGACATACCTCTGGGGACACTCTTTGCTCCCTACACCAATCAGAGAAGAACTTCCACCTATAAGCATAAGCACTCCTGGTGGAAGGTGCTCTAGAATTCATTATAGTGTTCTGTACATCCTGATCACAGACTCTCAAAAGTGGTTCTGGCCCTTCAGATGCCAAACACAGAGCTGTAGGCGATCTGGATTCGGGTGCCAAATCTGACCTCCGAACTGGTGGAGCAGATCCATCCTCCTGGGAAGGCTCAAGGGCTCCCCTTCTAAGAGCCTGTACATAATTGGAAACCAGGGTCTCCCTGGCCAGTTTGGTGCCACTAACAGTAGCCTGTGGTGTCCCTGAAGGACTCTGTGAACAGTTGCTAAGATCAATGGTATCGGGGGAAAGGCATACAGTAACTGATCTGGCCAGTCGTGGGCTAGAGCATCCTGCCCCAAAGGACTGGATTCTTATGCTAGTGAAAACCAGAGGGGGCACTGGGTCGAAGTTGCTGAGGCGAAGAGATTTACTTCTGCTCTGCCAAACCGCTGCCATATCATCTCCACCACCTCTGGGTTAAGACTCCACTCCCCCGACGGAGGTCTGTGCGTGACAAGATCTGCCATCACATTTGTCACTCCTGGGATGTGCATGGCTCTGATATTTGCAAACCGAGGGAAGGCCCAGTTCAACAGCTCCTGTGATACTTGAAGAGACTGGCTGGATTTCGTGCCCCCTTGATGGTATAAATCACTGATGCATTGTCTGACCTGACAAGAACATGCCTGCCTTCCAGATTCAGTGCAAAGTGCTTCAGTGCACTGCTCATAGTTCCAGGGTATTTATATTCTCCCCTCCCCTCACTTAAGTCCTGGGTTGTAGCATCACTCCCAGAAGACTGAATAGACTGGGACAATGCCAACATAAGATGGGAGAGAGAATTGTCAATGTGACCCATACGCGCTGCAGTGTTACATGCCTGTATAAGAAGATCAACCGTAATCCGACATTGAGGCAGAGGGCAACGGACATTAGGCCACAAAACCTCTTCTGGAGAGAGAACAAACGAGGCAATAATTGGATCAACCTTAGGCATCTGACCCAAGCCAAAAGTGTCTGCATCTTGCAGACACTTTTGAATCTCTGATGTAACCTCCCTTTCTTCATCCTCATAGAACTGACTGTGAGAAGCAGTCACAGACATGACATCCTCCTCAGAAATGGGTGACTTGAAAGTTAGAGCTTCAACTGAAGAAACTCGTTTCTCAGACGTTTGCAAATTCATAAGCAAGGACTTAATCTGAGCAAACTCAGCAGTCAACACATCCACCTTCTTAGCTAAGGGATCTTCCTTAGATCGTTTACCAGCTGAAGCACACGTTGCTTCAGCATGTTTACGTTTAGCTGCCGATTTACGTGGTGGTGGTGGTAGTGTTGGTAGCGACTCACCCAAGAGTCCTTCCACCAAAGCTATCCTTGAAGTCTTCCTCTCCCAAGACATAACTCTGCAGTTCATGCAGGCATCCTCTGTGAGGCCTTGTTTCAGGTGTTCCAAGCCTAAACAAGAAGGGCAGCAGTCGTGCCCATCATCCTTCTGCAGAGTGGCCATGCACAATGTGCAGGCATGAGATACTTTTTCCATCCT